AAGATTTGACCCTGATTGGCCGAAAGGTAGACGCTTAAACTGTGATCATTACTGTGTGTGCGTGTGTCGCGCCTGTGACATGCAGTGAGTGAGTGATGCATTTAAGGTGGCTCTGAAAATACGGGACAAAAGCCGTCCCGTATCAGTTCAATACGGGACGCACATAGTTTTTCTATAATACGGGACAATTCCATATTTCAAGGGACGGTTGGCAACCCTACCCACAACTAACTACAACACCCGCCTCCCGCGCTCTCTGATTGGTCGGTCGAAATTCAACCAATTGTAATCACTAACACAGGGACCAGACCCAGACGTTACATGCAGTGAAATGATTATTGAACCGAGTGTACGGATGGATAAGACCAGGCTATCTCGCTCCTGGTCTTTTCATTGCTTTTGACGTGAAAATAGGAGGATATTAAAAGAGTGAGGCCTCCTTCAGAAACACCTCTGAGGATCCACAGAGTTTATTTAAGTTACAAACACACAACTTTCTTATGTGTGAGAGTTCTTGTTTCTCCGTTTGGCTCCTGTCCCTGTGTTTTCACCCCTGGGAAATCTGAGCTGAACCCGCATGAGACCGGACTAATTCTTCTTTGTATAGAATAAAAATACAATCGAGGTCCGACAAGGCCTTTGCCAAACACACACGCAAGGACGAACAAAAGAAAGAATTAAACTTACATTTAGACTATTTCCAAAACTTTCTGCTCCCGTCTTCCCTTCATCCTACAAAGCTCAATACCTTTAGCAACACAAGACCCGGCAACGGATGAAGCGGAAGAAGATGGATGACCAGAAGCACTGCCTTTAGTGTTATAGCACGACCGGGCTAATGTTCAACACTTGTCCATAGAAAATGCCACAAATTCAGGACACAAATTCACACATTTAAAATCTACAAATATTTTCATTTCATTTCATTTCATTTTATTTATTCTTTTTTCATGGTAATGCAACATACTATACAATTGGAACAAATCAACAAACACAACAATAATACATTCCATGAAAAGAAGAACAGGAGTAGGATGAAGAAAAAAAATCTTATAAGCTCCTACCCCATTCTTTAAAAAAAAAAAACATTACAAATTAGATGGCCACACCGATGCCAAAAGATAACAATAGCCCAGACCAGATGTAATCAGCTTTCAATTTTAACAAGTTTCTTTCTTTTTTTCCCGATTATTATTAATAATTTTGCTAAAACAACAGTGATGCAATGGTGACAACAGCGGCGACGGGAACAGCGACGAGTCCATCAAACCACACAACGCACACCCACGTGCACATACAGGGAGACATGCACGGACACACACAGGCACACCCACAGCACACACACAAAAGGATGGAGAGGATCTATTGACGTATTTGTGATGAGCCCTATGCTGTGTGTTGCATTAAAAAAACAAGGTTTGAGTGGGCAGCTGTCGAAAGATGTTTGACCTCCCACAGCTGCCCGGCACCTGCTTGCCCTACATTAGTGATTGACAGAGTTGTGCCCTAAGATAGGTGTTGTGTTTAAAAAGACAGGAGTTAGCGGAAGTCCAGAGGTGCTACACCCCTGACATTCCCTCCATTCCTGCTCACCCTGTACTGAAGAGGATGTGTATATGTACTCGTGATGAGCCCTATGCTGTATGGTGTATTTAAAAAAGCGAGGTTTGTGTGGGCAGCTGTTGAGAGACGTATGACCTCCCACAGCTGCTCAACACCCGCTTACCCTGCACTGAAAATGTGTTCCTCTTTTGTTTTTTGTTTTTTTTTTTTGTCTTTTTTTTTTGCGTACTGTGAGCATACCTGTATACACCCATACAGACACACCCACACGAACACATAGGTACGCGCCACACAACCAGACAGTCCCGCCATCGCCCCCATCACCACCGCCACACCACTACATCACCACCATCGTTATCAGCACTGTTGTTGTAAATTTAACAATTTTCACATTCATCTTTGTACAAGTTAAGAATGTTCTGTTTATACTTATATTTAAATTGAAGAATATTTGAACAACATTTTAGATCTTTTTCTAGAGAGTTCCATTGTTTCACACCAGATACTGAGACACACATTTGTTTAAGGGCATTTCCTGCAAAAGGTTGTTTAAAGTCAGTATTTCTTCTACTTGTCTCACTATTTACAGTAAAAAGGGTTTGAAGTCCATGCGGTAACAGGCAGTGTTTTGCTTTATAAACAACTAATAAAGTTTGTAAAGAAACCAAGTCCTTTAATTTGAGTAGTCCTGACCTCAGAAACAGACCTGTAGTATGTTCTCTTGGAGCAACTCCATTAATTATTCTTATAGCCCTTTTTTGCAAAAGAAATAAGGGCATTAAATTAGTAATATAAGAATTACCCCATACCTCCAAACAATACATTAAATATGGCAAAATAAAGGAACAATATAAGATTCGCATTGCCTTGTAATTCAACATAAACTTTACTTTACTCAAAACAGCAATATTTTTACAAATTTTATTTCTTACGTAAGCTATGTGTGACTTCCACTTAAATTTATCATCAATGAGTACTCCTAAAAACCTGAATTCTGACACTCTCTCAATAGTTATTCCATTTAAAGTCAAATTAACACTTTCAAGGCATTTTTGATTTGTAAACAACATACATTTTGTTTTGTTTAAGTTTAACGACAATTTATTTTTATTAAACCATTTCTGAAGTTGGACCATTTCTTGTTCAATAGTTTTTATTAATGTTCCTAAATTCTTCCCCGATACAAAAAAATTGGTATCGTCCGCAAAAAGAACAAAACGTAAAATCTTTGATTCATCACAGAGGTCATTAATATATAAAATAAAAAGTTTAGGTCCCAGCACAGAGCCTTGAGGGACTCCACACTGTATTGTTTCTAAGTTAGATTCATGGCCTATATACTCTACATATTGTTGTCTATTTTCTAAGTAACTACTAATCCAGTTTAATACTACACCTCTAATTCCATATGTCTGTAATTTAGATATCAATATACCGTGATCAAGCGTGTCAAAGGCCTTTTTAAGGTCAATAAAAACTCCAACTGTGTGATTTTTATTCTCCAATTCTGTAGTAATATCCTCTGTGATTTTCATCAAAGCCATAGCTGTTGAGCGGGTGCTTCGAAACCCAAACTGATTATCATGTATCAAGGAATGTTTTTCAAGAAAAGAATCCAATTTTTTAACAAAAAGTTTCTCCAGAATTTTGGAAAATTGAGAAAGCAAAGATATAGGCCTATAATTTGTGAGGCTATGCTTATCACCCGATTTAAAAAGGGGAACAATCTTAGCCACCTTCATTTTATCTGGAAAGAAACCTGTATTAAAAGACACATTGATTATATATTGTAATGGTCTAATAATACAATGTATAGTTTCTTTGACAATATACATATCTAAGCCATCACTATCGCATGAATATTTACTTTTCAATTTAGAGACAGTAGAGATAATTTCACTCTCACCAACTTCGCCAAGAAATAGGGATTGCATAACTCTACTTTCACCTGTCCAACTTTTATTTTCGTTATTTAGTGGTATAGATTTAGCAAGATTTGGACCAACATTAACAAAAAATGAATTCAATTCATCAGCCATTTTTTCACCACTTACCTCCATATTCTGTTGATTCATTAAGTATAATGGCTGACTACAATTAATTTTACTGCCCATAACCTCCCTTAAAACTTTCCACATTCCTTTGATATTACTTTTGTTTTCCATTAACAAGTTTGTATAATAATCTTTCTTTGCACGTCTCATTACGGTAGTCAACTTATTTTTATAGGCTTTATATTTTTTTTCTGCATTTACTGTCCGATATTTTACAAAGTCGCAATAAAGCTTATTCTTGATTTTGCAAGATTTCAATATACCCTTTGTTATCCAAGGTTTATTATTATTTCTTGCTGTATCATTCAATATTTTTGTTGGGCAATTTTTATTATATAACCATAGATACTTTTTTAAAAATGATTCATAAGCCTTATTCACATTATTTGCACTATAAACATTTTCCCAGTGTTCTTTCATAAGATCATCCCTAAATGCATTTAATCTTTCCTCAGTTCTTGACCGAATAACTTTACTGTGCTTTTCTTTGTTTGTTTTTACATTACAAAAATAAGTTACAAATATAGGTAAATGATCAGTTGTATCATTTATCAGAAGACCACTTTTGACCGTTTTTTCAAATATATTAACAAAAATATTATCAATTAATGTGGCACAACTGGAGGTTATTCGGCTAGGCCTGGTAATGGTTGGATAAAGGCCTCTGCTATACATTAAATCTAGGAAATCTGAACTACTAATATGATTAGACACATTCAAGAGATTTATGTTGAAGTCCCCGCAAATTATAGACAGTTTGTTTTCATTCATCCCAACTAATAATTGCTCCAGCTTGTTATTAAATGCTGTAATGCTGGACCCTGGAGTTCTATATATGCATGTGACAACAATATTCCTCTGTTTGTTCATTTCGATCTCAACAGTTAAACATTCCATTAAATCTTCTGTTGCAGTAGTCATACACTCAACTGTTTTGCATTTTAACTCACTACTAACATAAAGAGCAACCCCCCCTCCTCTCTTGTTGATCCGATTAACATAAAACAATTCATAACCCTCAAAATAAAATTCCGCACCTTTCTCATCCGTTAACCAAGTCTCAGACAGAGCTATAACAGTAAATTTATTTTGTAATGTGTTCAAATAGTCATGTATTTTACTAAAATTTGAATACAGGCTTCTACAATTCAAATGAATAAGTGAAAATGAACCAGCCGTTTCTATATTACTATTAAATTCTGCGTCTGTATAATATTTACATGTATCATTTTTGTTTGGAAATAAGTTTGACTCGGAGTCCAGTTCATCATGGTCATAGACACGACCTGTGTTTTCAGCTTGTGTAAGTATATGATCACACACTGTGGACATCGCACTTAATTATACAGTTAAGCACTTTCCACAATGTAGTCTCCACATACCTTAGTCGTCGTCTGTTTTATCATTTTCATAACTGACCAAGGAAAGTCGAAGAGATTCAACGCTGGCTGTTATTTCCCCGGCGGGAGCACGTTTGCTCCTCCTGCGGGGGGACTGCCATCCCGCAGCCCGCAGCGCTGAGTCCCAATCCGGCTCTTTTCTTGGGACTTCCATCGTTACGCCAAAGTCCTTTAGACCCTCAGCTGCTTCTCGTGGGTTTTCAAAAATCTTAGTCTTTCCATCCTGCAGAAACAACATGAGTTTTGCAGGGTAGAGAATGCGAGACTTGATTTTTCGCTCCTGGAGTTGTTTCCTTGCGCTCCTGTATTTTGCGCGCTCCTTAAACACTTCAGTGGTGTAATCCTCGTCAAAATATATCCGTTGATCGTTAATACGAATGTCCTTTAGAGACCATGCAGCATGCAGCACTCGTTGTTTCTCCTTAAAACTGCGAAAACAAACGATGATAGATCTGGTGAAATCCGCAGCAGCACGTCCCACGGAGACACCTGTTCCTCCTACGCGATGCGCCCTTTCAATGTAAATCTCCTCCCGGATACTAAGCTGTTCACGAATTAGCTTTTCTATAAACACAATCATATTGCTGCCTTCAGTTTTCTCCGGTACTGAGTAAATTCTCAAATTATTTCTCCGTGAACGGCCTTCCAGATCCTCACACTTCTCCTCAAGGTACTTTTGTTTACGCATCAGATGAAACAGCACTTTAGTCAGATCCATGTTACGTTCCTCGTTATCTGCGATCCTCTGTTCGGCGTCATTCACCCTTGTTTTTAATTCTTCGAAGTTAAGCTTTATGTCGCTCACCTCCTTCCTCAGTACACCAAAGTTCCCTGCCGTTTCAGTTCGAAATAGTTTGAGTTCCTTCAGTATTTCTGAAGTACCATCAGCGCTACCAGCGCCCTTTTCCTCAAGGCCGGTTTGGCTTGCTGGCGTGGGATCCAACTCACCTCGTTTATGGCTTGGTTTTGGCATTATTAGGCGTTCCTTTTTTCTTTAAATGATAACTTGATGTGTCAAGTTGACATACAGTTCATCTGAGTCCACAAGCAGTAGTCGGTGTTTCAAGTTTTGGCTTTTGTTTGTCAAGTGTTACACCCCTGGCACCGGTTGTTCGGCCATCAGCTATAAAAGTATTTGATTAAACAGTTAATTAATCATGTGAACGATTTCAGCCACAGTTTGAGACGAAGATGTTTAAGTCTGTTTGTAGTTTTCGGGCTGTGGGAAGAGCGTTCCACAGTTTGGCTCCATTGAAGGAGAAGCTAGACTGTCTCAACAATGTTCTGGACTTAGGAACCAGACTGACCGAGACTGACCGAGACCGACCGAGACCGACCGAGGCTCTGGTGTTAGGCCTTTGAGAGCGTGACGTCTGACAGACCAGAGAACAGCGGTGGAGCATGATCATAAAAACATTTAAAGTGTACAAAAGCTTAGGAAGCGGAAGGCGCGATCACATGACACCAACTCTGGCTTCGTTGCACTGGCTTCTTGTTCATTTTAGAATCAATTTTAAGATTTTATTGTTTGTTTTTAAAGCTTTTTGTACGGACTGGCCCCTCCTTACATCTAGGACCTCATCCAAAGTTACCACCCGCCCCGCGCGCTGAGGTCCGAGGGCCAGCTCCAGCCCGTGGTACCGAGGACGAGACTTAAAACCCAGGGGGACAGGGCCTTCTCTGGGGCTGGACCAAAGCTGTGGAACGCTCTGCCAACCCCCCCCCCTCTCGTCTTAAGACCCATTTTTATGCTCTGGCTTTTAACACTGCGTATGGTCCTTTTATTTTATTCCATCTTTTTATTGTTATTTTTATATTTATACACATATGCACACACGGTTTTTACATGTTTGATTTTTTTATTATTTTAATGTTTTACTATGGATTTTTATTTTATTTAGTACTGTAATTTATTGTGCAGCACTTTGGAGACTGTGTTTATGAAATGTGCTATATAAATGGATAAAGTGGATTGGATTGAAAAGGTTTTTATGATGTCACAATGGTGCTATCTTAAAGGTTTCCTGCCGTAGACCGTGATTGGTCGGTTATACAGGGATGTGACTGGCTTTAGAGGTGTCTGTGAAGTTTGCGACCGCGAGCCGAGGCAGTAGGAGAGATGCGAAAATATCATTCTATTTAAATGTGCCGCACCAATAGAACCAAAACAGGTGGCTTCGTGATCTCTCCTTCGGGTCTTTAAAATGATAATGAGATGCTTTCCCGTGGCCTGTGATCCAACCTAAATACCATGTTGTGGCGATCAAAAACAAAGTGATTAGGATCTAAACCACACCAAAGCTGCTCACGGTTTTGCCGGGTAAATATGCCGCATAAACGACTCCAATTGTATTGTATGTACTTTATTTGAACAGGGACAGTGTACAGTTAAGCATTAACACAAAAGGAGAGATGCATGTACCAGGTAGTCCCTGGGCAGGCTGGTGTTATGTTCATTTAAACTGATTACAAAGTAGATGGATACATGATTGTGTATTTACAGGCTTTAAATAACATCATTCACAAAACATTAAGTTTAATAACAATAAATAAAGCCCCCCAATTTCTACTAGAATATTACACTCACTCACTCACTCAGTCACTCACTCAGTCACTCAGTCACTCAGTCAGTCACTCACTCACTCACTCACTCACTCACTCAGTCACTCACTCACTCACTCACTCACTCACTCACTCACTCACTCACTCAGTCACTCAGTCACTCACTCACTCACTCACTCACTCAGTCACTCAGTCACTCAGTCACTCAGTCACTCACTCAGTCACTCAGTCACTCAGTCACTCAGTCACTCACTCACTCACTCACTCACTCAGTCACTCACTCACTCACTCAGTCACTCACTCACTCACTCACTCACTCACTCAGTCACTCAGTCACTCACTCACTCACTCACTCACTCACTCAGTCACTCAGTCACTCAGTCACTCACTCACTCAGTCACTCAGTCACTCACTCACTCACTCACTCACTCACTCAGTCACTCACTCACTCAGTCACTCAGTCACTCACTCAGTCACTCAGTCACTCAGTCACTCACTCACTCACTCAGTCACTCAGTCACTCAGTCACTCACTCACTCACTCACTCACTCACTCACTCACTCACTCAGTCACTCAGTCACTCACTCACTCACTCACTCACTCAGTCACTCAGTCACTCACTCAGTCACTCAGTCACTCAGTCACTCACTCACTCACTCACTCACTCAGTCACTCAGTCACTCACTCACTCAGTCACTCAGTCACTCACTCACTCACTCACTCAGTCACTCACTCACTCACTCACTCAGTCACTCAGTCACTCAGTCACTCACTCAGTCACTCAGTCACTCACTCACTCACTCACTCACTCACTCACTCACTCACTCACTCACTCACTCACTCACTCACTCAGTCAGTCAGTCAGTCAGTCACTCACTCACTCACTCAGTCACTCAGTCACTCACTCACTCACTCACTCACTCAGTCACTCAGTCACTCACTCACTCAGTCACTCACTCACTCACTCACTCAGTCACTCACTCACTCACTCACTCAGTCAGTCACTCACTCACTCACTCACTCACTCACTCACTCACTCAGTCACTCACTCAGTCACTCACTCACTCACTCAGTCACTCACTCACTCACTCACTCACTCACTCAGTCACTCACTCAGTCACTCACTCACTCAGTCACTCACTCAGTCACTCACTCACTCACTCACTCAGTCACTCACTCACTCACTCACTCAGTCACTCAGTCACTCACTCACTCACTCACTCACTCACTCACTTTCTCACTCAGTCACTCAGTCACTCAGTCACTCACTCAGTCACTCACTCACTCAGTCACTCACTCACTCACTCACTCACTCACTCACTCATGCGTGCAAACTTGCTTTTTCAGAAGCCATTTCTTAGTCAGCCAAGAAAATGTTTTAAATGTAGTACACGCAATGACCTCTGGGGGCAGTGTGTTCCACTGACTCATGGCCGTCACAGAAAAAGCAGATTTAGCAAAAGTTGTTCTACATTTTTTGACGCTGCATTCTCCTCTAGAAGTGGATCGAGTGGTTCTGGTCATTTTGTCTGCACTCAATGAAACACATTTTCTTAGAGGAGGTGCACTAACACCATGGATGATTTTAAACAGCAAACAAACATTGGAGTAAAATGTTAGGTTTTCAAAGTTGAGAAAGTCATATTTAGAGAGGATGGGACAGTGATGGTACCGCCTGGACTTCTTATCATGGATCTTAAGGGCACACTTGTACAGTGACTCGAGAGGTCCCAGAGTGGTTTTACAGCCCTGAGACCAGCTCGAGACACAGTATACACAATGTGACAGGATCATGGAGTTCATGGAGTTCAATAGAAAGCTCCATGAAGTATCCACAGCGGACGGTCAGAGAGAAATCGGATTTTGAAATTGCCAAAATTAAACTTTTTTCATGTTGTCAATCATCACATTTTAGCCTTATTTCATTAATCTTAGCTATGGATCCTGTGGCTGCATGTGAGGCCTATATAAAGTCTAAATAATAAATGAAAAGGGGACAGTGGCTCAGTTGGTAGAGCCCCTTTGGGCCTGAAGGTCGTGGGTTCGAGTCCACAGCAAGACCTACTTGTTGATGTCTGCTGTCATTGTGTCGTTGTGTGACGGGTGCTGGACGCTTGTAATGTGCCAATTCAGAAAATAGGCAAAAAATCCACAAAAAACATGGCTAAGGCTCTGCTAAATGCTAAAGCTAGGCTAAATGCTAAATGTCTCAATCTCGGGCTCATTACAACAAACTCAGATCCAATGGTTCCAATCTGCAAAAGTAGTTAACCCCTCCCACCTGTTCACGGAGTCAATGGAGACAAATCCAGACCTCAGTATGAAATGAAATGAGTACCATGGTGTGGTACGACCAGGCTACACTTCTCATAATCATGGATATTTTCTTGCCAACAGACCCAAAACCCATCTATCTTTACCGTAGTGCTTTCTACAGTTTTTCAGCTTCATCCCCTCTTTGTCATTTCAGTCCATTTTAGTCCTCCGGTCGCCTCGGCCGTTTTGCCGTAATGCCTCTTAGTGCAGCCTAAAAGGTTTTCAATGCTGCGTGTGACCATTCTATCATTGCACAATATACCTCTGGTTCTTCCTCCAGTCTCTTTGCACCTTGTTGGAAAAAAAAGAGACACAAAAAGGACTACTAACATATTTATTCATCCTGAAAGTTGCATGAGGAGCTGCCAAAGAGTACACCGGGCCCTGCTTTTGTAGTGGATATGGAAAGAGTCGGAGCTGGGACGGTGAAGGGAGACGGACATGCTCTGTAGCTACAAATAGAATGCGATGGAAAGGTCCTTTTCTCTTCTGATTTGATCGTGGGGACCCAGAGTACTCGACTGCTAATAGCCTGTGTCCACTGCTTTCAACAGAGTGAGTCTATATAAAGGTGCGTGGCGATGGAGTGGTCATGTGACACGGTGCACTTTGGTCCATCTTCAAACACTCGCGGCTCCGAACTCGGGCTCAGGGGAAGCGTTTCTCAATCTTGTTTATTAAGCTTGTAGAAAGAGTATGTTTTACTTCTCTGTGTAAAGGTAAAGCACCCGGAGGAAAGCCGCGTAGGCACGGGGAGAACATGCAAACGCCACTCAGATAGACCCTGTTTCGACCGGGATTCGAACCGAGGACCTTCTTGCTGAGAAGCGAGAGTGCTAACCTTTTTTTATTATTGTTATTTTTATTTTATTTTTTTCACCAATGATTGCTCATGTGGAAAGAATGTATTCAGATTTCTCATATAGTCATTTAAAAACATATTTGCAAAGCTAGGCTACATGCTAAAGCTAGGCTAAATGCTAAATGCCGCACTCACTCGGGCTCATTACATACGTCACGGTAAACTCAGATCCAATGGTTTCAATCTGCAAAAGAAGTTAACCCCTCCCACCTGTTCACGGAGTCAATGGAGAC